GTTTTTCTGTACATTGGAAAGGTTCCTACGATCGTCGACCACTGTTGTTTTCCTTGGACGTCCAGGCCTTTTTGTGTTGCAGAGCTCACCAGTGCATTCCCTTTTTTTTTTTCTTCTGAGAATGTAACAAACTGTTGATTTGGCCACTACTAATGTTCCTGCTATCTCGTTGATGATTTATTTATTTTTTTACAACATAAGGATGACCTGTTTCACATGCATTGAGTGCTCCTTTACGGCATGTTGTGGATTCACAGCATTACCTTTTACCTGCTTAATTGATGAATAAATTAATGAAGGAATAGTCCACACCTGTCCATGAAACAGTGAAATAGCTTTTGAGTCAATTGTCTTATTACTTTTGGTCCCTTGAAAATGAGGCAGCTACATATTCCTAAACCCTTCCTTCAATTTGGATGTGGATACCCTCAAATTAAAGCGGAGAGGCTGCACTTTAAGTCCATATTCATTATTTAACTGTAACTTGAATTTATTTTGGTAAACAACCAAATCTAACAAAACTTGGGTAAGTGTCCAAGTATTTCTAGGCTTAACTGTATTTCAATATCAATTACATAGAAACATAGAAACATAGAATGTGACGGCAGATAAGAACCATTCGGCCCATCTAGTCTGCCCAATTTTCTAAATACTTTCATTAGTCCCTAGCCTTATCTTATAGTTAGGATAGCCTTATGCCTATCCCACGCATGCTTAAACTCCTTTACTGTGTTATAATTAAGACTGAGCTTAGGACACATTGGTCATACTTATCCTTTGGACTAGAGAAACTGTCCAGTTTATAGCACCTGAGAAAGGGTGAGAATGAAGACTATGTCACTGCTTGACACATTTCCTGTTCCAGGAACCTCTGCAGAAACTAACCAAGATGCCGAGACAGCTACAATAGGGTGGACCTTCACAATATCTGGAAGTTTCTTATTTTGTGCCAGATAAATTTTGGTAATTTGGTTGCCATTTTCTATTTAGCTATGGTACTGGTTGAGACCAATTTAGCCTTCCTTTTTTCCACAGGGTATTATGAACAGTCTATTAGAATTCCTGTAAGCTTCAGTTTGTGCAAAGTATTCTTTTAAACATTGCACTGGGTCTAAGAGATGCCATGTGTGTTCTTTATGTGACTTCGGGAAGGAAAGCAAAACGGTTTCTTTGTTGACATGGTATTCAATGACTACTTTGGGAACTGGTCACAACCACTTTGTTTTCATGGATAAATGTGTATGGAGATTGAAAAGTCAATGGATATATAAATAGAACACAAATAGTGCAATATTGTACGTGAAAATCTTTAATGAACAGAATGCACTTACAAAAGTAGAATTAGTTGGGAGTTTATTTGATGCATAGTAGTCTCTCCTTTTTGTATTGAATCCATACCCAGCCCCAACTGTCAAAATTCCAGAATGTGCTTGGTTGAACCACAGCATTGTACACATGGAATTGTATTCCCACGCTATCTAGACCTTCTACGTGGTCATGGAGACTCAGTGACTCCCTCTTCCTGGATTTGACAACAGTGGAACAGATGAATGAAGCACTTACTTTGGACTTTAAAATGACCCTTCTGGGGGAGCTCACAGACATTACAATTTGGGAAGCACGCAAGAGTGTTATACGGGGTGTCCTTATTCAACTCCAAGCTAAGAAGAAGAGGAAATCTCAGAAACAACTCACAGACCTAACAGAGAAGATAGCCTCCTTTGAGTCTCGGCGAACGCGATCACTGGTAGATGCTGTACACAAGGACTTGCTGGCAGCATGTCAGCAATTTCTCACCCTTCTTTTGCACAGGTATTGTCACGGCTTACCTTAGTTGGAAATCTGATAGGCAGATATACACCGCCCAAGGTGATAAGGTTAGAAACCACCAGGACTGTGAATCTGTGCACGTGGTCTGTGCATGAAAAGGGGTTTCCAATACGTGGTACAGACAAGGGTAAATCCAGAAGAGTAGTCAGACACAGTTCCAAAAGTCAGGGCAGGCAGCGAACAGGCAATAACGGTTAATCCTAGAAGACAAGCCAAGTCAGTCTTAGGAAACAGGATACAACTAACTGACACTGCCCTCAAGGAGATGCAGTGTTTTATACCTGGAGTAATGATCAATCTGCCTCAGGTGGACTTTGATAGACAGGTAGGAGCAACTGGTGAAGTCCAGCCCCCTAGTGCTGGAAACAAGGCAAGGTTTAACATTAAGCTGAAACATGAGCCAAAGTGTGATACAGAGGCAAGACAGCAGGATCAGGACACCCGATTGGGCACTTCTGGGGCAACCGTGACTGGCCTCCTGGATGTCAGGGTGAGAACCGTGACAGGTATTTCCATTTGGTGCAACAATCAAAAGGATTTTTTTTATTCTGCACGCTAATAAAGGTGGGAAACTGTTAGCGCATATGCTGTGTGGGTAACATACCTGCACACAGAGTCATAGGATCCATATACGGACTGGCGAAGTCATCAATTCCCAGACAAGATAGCATCAGAATTTCTACCCCTTACTTTACAATATCCAGCGAACAGAGCAGAACAGGGCCCTTAGCAATTGTTTTCACGGATTATGTCACCATAGCTCTCCTAGCTGATGAAGTGGAGCGGCAATCAAATCTGCGAAAACTGGACAGGTACCTGGACCAGATGGCTTGCCTTAGACTACTTTAAAAAGTTCTGTAATATTTTAATACCTTAGCTCACTAAAGCCCTTAACATGCTAACATCGGAGGGGATGCTAAATCCCTTTCAGCCACTATAGCCGTTTTACCTAAACTAGGGAAAGACCTAGAAGCCTGTAGCAGCTATAGACTAGGGATCGGCCGATATTGTGGGGGTTTTTTGGGGGGGGGGGTTTAGAGCCGATACCGATAATCTGTGAACTTTCAGGCCGATAGCCGATAACTTGCCAATATTCTGTACATTTACCATTTTTTTTTTAAATAAACTAATCCTAAAGTAAAATGCACAAAATATACATGCCACATGTAGTGGATTAAGTGTGTTTAGACAGGGGAGCTGTGTGTGTTTGTGTAGTGTATGTATAGTGAATGCAGTGTGGGTAAAGTGAATGCATTGTGTGTGTGTGTATATAATGTAGTGTGTATATAATGCAGTGTAGTGTGTGTGTGATTGTGTAGTGATGTAACTTGTGTAAAATGGGGGGGCATTTTTTTTTATTTGAATTTTTTTTTTATATTTAAAAAAAAATGTGTTTTGTTTGTTTAGTCCCCCCTCCATTCTTCTTACCAGGGAGGGGGGATATAGTATTCCCTGGGGGTCCAGAGACTCGATAAGTACTGGGGGGGCCGCAGGAAGCTGTTTCTTACCTTTCTTGCAGCTTCTCCAGCTCCCCTGTGTAAATCTTGTGGCCCTTAGTGCCGCGCAGAGCGTTGCCATGGTAACCTGTGGCAACGCTCTGCAGCCGCGGGACTCGCAAGATTTGCACTGGGGAGCTGGAGGAAGGTAAGAAACAGCTTCCTGCGGTATGAGCCTGGTGGTCCTAGGAGGTAATATCGGTATCTATATTGGCTGATACCGATATTGCCGAAAATACCTAATATCGGCCGATAATATCGGTAAAACCGATAATCGGTCGATCCCTACTATAGACCAATATCGCTGCTCAACGTGGATATCAAGCTACTCTCTAAAATAATTTCTACCAGGATTGGGCTGATCCACCAGGATCAAACATGCTTTATCCCTGGCAGGGAGGCAAGAGATAGCACCTTATGATCGCTCTCAGTCCAACATTTGGCGAGACGTTCAGGTGACCTTTTGCTCCTACCTTCAACAGATGCTGAAAAGGATCCAGATGGACTGGACCTTCCTCATGGCCACACTGCACAAAATGGAGTTTTGAGATTAAACAATGAGTTGGATATCTGCGTTATACAGCTATCCAACTTAGAGATAACAGAGCCCTAACGGACATCTTACAAATACGTAACGACATTAGACAGATGTGCCCTTTATCCCCAATGCTGTTTGCATTGTCGTTGTAGCCACTCCTCCAGTGCTGTGCGAGTGACCCTAAGATTGAGGGGGTTCAACTGGAGGGCCACATTATATAAAGTCGTAGCTTACGCAGGCTATCTCTTGTTCTTCGTTAGGCGACCCAGATGATGACAACATGCTCTGCAATGACCAAGGTCACATTCCATGTTAATGTTTTTGTCTTGCGTGATTAATGCTTATTTTTTCACATGCAGGGTCAGTGCAATGATTCCTGACGCCCTAGCCAACAATCCATTTTGCCACCACCTAATAAAGGCAACTACATTCTCTCAGAGGTTTATTCACTAAATTCTGAATTGCAATGAAGAGACATTTAGGAAAGATACAGGGGCGTACCTAGAGTATTTGGCACCCGGGGCGGATCCTGTGCTTGGCACCCCCCTCACCCAAAAAAAAAAAAACCTGTAAAAAATGTTAAAGGTTTTCTTTCTTTTTTTTTTTACAATTTGTAAACTTTGCAAAACCGCTGTCAGCCCCTCCTACAAAATTCATGTCCTGCCCCGCCCCTCCTACAAAACCTCTGTCCTGCCCCTTCTACAAATCCTGTACTGCCCCGTCTACAAAACCCCCGCAACCCCCTTCCACAAATCCCCTGCTTATCCCCCATTATAAAGACTCCTGTCCCAATACAAAACCCCCGCCCCCTTCTACAAAATCCCTGCAGCCCCACACACACATTTACAGACAGACAGTCACACACTCAGTTACAGACAGACAGTCACACACTGTTACAGGCAGACAGTCACACACAGTCACAGACAGACAGTCACACATACACATTTCCTCTGTGCAGCCAGTTTATCAGCTGTTTGCTTGTGTGAGCTGTACGGCACCCTAACTACCATGGGACACTGTGCGGCCACAGCTCACACAGCCCCCTCCAGCCAGGGCCGGTGCAAGGATTTTTGCCGCCCTAGGCAAAAGTAAAGTTTGCCGCCCCCCCATGTGACATCACAATGCCCCACCCATATGATTTGCCATGTTAACTAACGCCAGTGCTGCAGTGCCGCCGTGTTTACATTAAAAGGCCTGCAGGGACAGGCTATAGACACCAGAACCACTACATTAAGCTGAAGTGGTTCTGGGGACTATAGTGTTTCTTTAATGTGAGGTAAATTAGAGCTTAGTGCCACGAATAATATACTAGATTACCTACTTACAACCAGATGAGGATGATGATGGGCTCTAGCTGCAGTCTGGCTCCACTGGTCTGGTGTAGAACAGGCTCTCTGGAGGCGGTTTGTAACTGTGGTCACAAAAATCAATGTTCTGGGAGAACGGGAAGCAGCTCCATTTTTTGGGGGTCCTTTACACAGCTCAAGGTCTGGGTCCCAGGGTCCACCTTCATGTTCCACCAATGAGTTTGTTCACAGGGGGTGGAGTGTGTAGGGATGTCCTGATATGTGTGTAAGGAATGCATTGTGTGAAATTGTGTTTGTATGTGTAAGGGCTGCAAGGTGTGTTTCTGTGTATGTATGGGATGCATTGAATGTGTGTAAGGGGTGCATTGAGTGTGTGTAATGAATGCATTGTGTGTTTCTGTGTGTGTAAGGGATGCATTGTGTGTAGCGGTTGCATTGCTTGTGTATGTGTGTCTGTGTGTGTAATGCATTGTGTGTTTTTCTGTGTGCAAGGGGTGCATTGTGTGTATGTGATGAATGTCAATCTCTCCTCCCGCTCCAATTTCCTTCTCCTCCTCCCAATTTCTCTTTCTCACCCCCCCTCCTAATTTCTCTCCCCCCTAATTTCTCTTTCCCCCCTCCTAATATCTCTCCCCCCTCCTAATTTCTCTTTCTCACCCCCCTCCTAATTTCTCTCCCCTCCTAATATCTCTTCCCCCCTCCTAATTTCAATTTCTCTCCCCCCCTAATTTCAAGTTTCTCTCCCCCCTCCTAATTTCTCTCTCACCCCCCCTCCCTAATATCTCTTCCCCACGCTCCTAATTTCAGTTTCTCTCCCCACTCTGGTACTCTCACCCCCTCCTATTTCCTTACTAATTTCTCTTTCCCCTCTAATATCTCTTCCCCCCCCCTCCCCTAATGTCAATCTCTCCTCCCGCTCCAATTTCCTTCTCCTCCTCCCAATTTCTCTTTCTCACCCCCCCTCCTAATTTCTCTTCCCCCCTCCTAATTTCTCTTCCCCCCTCCTAATATCTCTTCCCCCCTCCTAATTTCTCTACCCCCCTCCTAATTTCAATTTCTCTCCCCCCTCCTAATTTCAATTTCTCTCCCCCCCTCCTAATTTCTCTTTATCACCACCCCTCCTAATTTCTCTCAGTGTGCACTTCCTGTTAGTCCGGCTGGGTACAGGAGACAGATGCTCCCTGTACCCGCCGACTATACTGGGCTCGGCCATGCTACAACAGAGGGAGTGACAGGAGGGAGCGCTGAGCGTTTCCCTCCCGTCAGCCTCTCCTCAGGTTGCGCCCGGGCGGTGCGGTCCGCCCTCATGGACGCACCGCCCGGGCAAAGCTGTAGTCGCCTGAGGCTCTTTACAGGCTCACGAGGCTGCAACTGGAGGCGGCCGGGGAGCTGATCATGGCACCCCTTGCAGCACCAGGCGCACACCGCCCCCTTGAATATCACTGGAAAGATATAAGATAAGGTATATGCATCCATATACATACATATAAAAAGGTTCCAAAGGTGTGAGTTTTATTTTTACTCACTGCACAAAAGAGAATCACTTTACTATTGATATACAATATTGCACTATTTAGCGCTGCTTTCTTATTTTTGGTTTTGCTCATTTTTGGCATATATAACACCATAGCCCATTTTGAGGTTACTGCAAGTGTGTGCTGGTTTTTCACAAGGCATTTATGAGTGCTACGCTCAGGGCTGGATTAACGCATAGGGGCTGATGGAGCTGCAGCTCGAGCCGCGGGCCATGGAATAGGCCCATTTAAAAAAAAAATGCGTTTTTTTTTTTTTTTACACACTACTCTTGGGTAGTAATGTCCCGAACGGTTCGCCGGCGAATAGTTCCTGGCGAACATCGCTTGTTAGCGTTTGCCGCGGACGGCGAACATATGCGCTGTTCGGTCCACCCCCTATTCATTCATCATTGAGTAAACTTTGACCCTGTACCTCAGTCAGCAGACACATTCCAGCCAATCAGCAGCAGACCCTCCCACCTCCTGGACAGCATCTATTTTACATTCATTGTGAAGCTGCATTCTTAGTGAGAGGAGGGACAGTGTAGCTGCTGCTGATTTGATAGGGAAATTGATAGCTAGGCTGGTGTGCTATTTTGACTGTAATAGATTGAATAGCAGTTAGTTGTCTGCCAGCGTGTGTGTCAGGCTCACAGCGTATACTGTGCCCACTTGCCCAGTGCCACCACTCAAATCCGGTGTCACAATAGCTTGCATTTAAAAAAAAAAAACTTTTTGGACTGTAATATAATAGCAGTCAGTTTCCTTCACGCGTGTGCGTTTCAGGGCCTGCCAGGGCCAGTGCAACTCATATCTGGTGTAACAGTAGTGTACATTAAAAAAAAATAAAAAAAAAATAAATACAATTTTGACTGTAATAGATTGAATAGCAGTTAGTTGTCTGCAAACGTGTGTGTCAGACCTAAAGCGTCTACTCTGCCAACTTCTGCCACTGCACAGTGCCACTCTTATCTGTTGTCACAGTAGCTTGCACGCATAGTATAACTAATCGGAAAAAAAAATGACAGGCAGAGGCAGGCCACCCCGCAGGGGCCGTTGTGGTCGTGGTGCTGTGATTCCCTTTGGCCCTAGAATAATGCCCAGTGTTCAGAGGCCACGTACCCTGAACTCGAAAAGTTCTGAGGACATAGTTGACTGGCTAACACAGGACACCCAATCTTCTACAGCTTCCGCTCGGAACCTTGACGCACCATCCTCCTCCAGCTTAGCTTCGGGCACCTCTCAAGTTACCACTCGCCCGCCTGCCGCCACCACCAACACTAGCACCACAGCAGCTTCACTTGGTATGTCAGAGGAGTTATTTACACATCAGTTGGAAGAAATGAGTGATGCACAACCATTATTGCCAGAGGATGTATATAACAGGGATATGTCTCAGTCAGGGAGCATTACACACATGGACGTACGGTGTGATGATGATGTTGTACCCGCTGCTGCTTCCCTTGCTGAGTTGTCAGATACAAGTGAAGCGGTTGATGATGATGATGCGTCCGTGGATGTCACGTGGGTGCCCGCTAGAAGAGAAGAAGAACAGGAGGAAAGTTCAGATGGGGAGACAGAGAGAAATTTCTTTGCACAAAAGGCAATCCCCAACCTGTACTCGATTGTGCAAAAGGAAGTAATAGCATGTCTGGCACACAGTGTTGGGGCAAGGGTCCTTCTGACCACTGATACCTGGTCTGCAAAGCATGGTCAGGGCAGGTATATCACCTACACTGCGCATTGGGTAAACCTGCTGACGGCTGCCAAGTATGGAATGCGTGGCTCTTCAGAGGAGTTGGTGACACAGCGACAACTTGCAGGCAGGCCTGCTGCCACCTCCTCTACTCCTCCTACTCCATCCTCTTCCATAACCTCCTCGGCTGAGTCCTCTTCTGCTGCTGCGTCTTGCTCCACATCAACAGCACCCCCCTAGCTCCCCAGGTACTATTCCACATCCCGGATATGACAGTGTCATGGCGTCTTGGGGTTGACTTGCCTGAAAGCAGAGAGTCACACCGGACCAGCACTCCTATCCGCCCTGAACGCACAGGTGGATCAGTGGCTGACTCCGCACCAACTGGAGATCGACAAAGTGGTTTGTGACAACGGAAGAAATTTGTTGGCGGCATTGCATTTTGGGCAAGTTGACACACGTGCCGTGCATGGCACATGTGTGTAATCTGATCGTACAACGCTTTGTGCATAAGTACCCAGGCTTACAGGACGTCCTGAAGCAGGCCAGGAAGGTGTGTGGCCATTTCAGGCGTTCCTACACGGCCATGGCGCACTTTTCAGATATCCAATGGCGAAAAAACATGCCAGTGAGGCACTTGATTTGCAACAGCCCGACACGGAATTTAACACTCCTAATGTTCGACCGCCTGCTCCAACAAGAAAAAGCTGTTAATGAATATTTGTATGACCGGGGTGCTAGGACAGCCTCTGTGGAGCTGTGAATTTTTTTGCCACGTTACTGGACGCTCATGCGCAATGCCTGTAGGCTCATGCATCCTTTTGAGGAGGTGACAAACCTAGTCAGTCGAACCGAAGGCACCATCAGTGACATTATACCATTTGTTTTCTTCCTGGAGCGTGCCCTGCGAAGAGTGCTGGATCCAACCACAACATGCATCCCAGGGTGCTTGTTGTCACCTATCTGGTACCCGTGGTGTTGTATGTGGCTGGGGGGAAGAACATACCTTCAGTGAGATCACTGAGGACGAGGAACAGGACATGAGTAGCTCGGCATCCAACCTTGTGCAAATGGGGTCTTTCATGCGGTCGTGCCTGTTGAGGGACCCTGCTATAAAAAGGCTGAAGGAGAACGACCTGTACTGGGTGTCCACGCTACTAGACCCCCGGTATAAGCAGAAAGTGCCTGAAATGTTACCGAATTACGGCAAGTCGGAAAGGATGCAGCAGTTCCAAAATCAATTAAAAAGTATGCTTTACACAGCGTATAAGGGTGATGTCACAGCACAACGGGAATCTAACAGGGGAAGAGGTGAAAGTAATCCTCTAATCCTCCTCCTCCCACAACCACGCCGGCAAGGACAGGACGCTTTACAGACGTGTTGTTGATGGAGGACATGCAGAGCTTTTTAAGTCCTACGCATCGCCACAGCCCTTCGGGGTCCACCCTCAGAGAACGACTCGACTGACAGGTAGCAGACTACCTCGCCTTAACTGCAGATATCGACACTCTGAGGAGCGATGAACCCCTTGACTACTGGGTGTGCAGGCTTGACCTGTGGCCTGAGCTATCCCAATTTGCGATAGAACTTCTGGCCTGCCCCGCTTCAAGTGTCCTGTCAGAAAGGACCTTCAGTGCAGCAGGAGGTATTATCACTGAGAAGAGAAGTCGCCTAGGTCAAAAAAGTCTAGATTACCTCACCTTTATTAAGATGAATGAGGGATGGATCCCGAAGGGACTGACAGTGGGCGATACATTCGACTAAAAAAGGCCTGATGAGGGGGACGTAACAGGGTGTCGCGGCTGCCGGCCCGCCGTGTGATATTTAAATCCCTAGCTCACCCCAGTACCTTGCCCTGTCGTGGTTTCCTGTTCCTGGTTTCCTGAGAGTGCTTTATC